CCACCCCACCCCCACCTTTCCCTGGGGTCCGCCACCAATGCCAGTGTCACCTCACGTTTCTACCAAAGCTGGATCACATGGCATTATGAGCCAAAATTAACAATCTGGCACACAGAAGGAAAATACCTTTCTTTTTGCTCTTTTTGCCATTTTCTGGTGAGAAATGTAAAGAATAGCTGAAAGTAGAAAAAGAAGCGCCGACCCAGACAGACAGAGCTGGAGAGAACTCCCCAAGGAGACTGAGAAACTTCAAACACCTGACAAAGCCAGATGGCTAAAGGACTCCTCCTCGGACTCCAGGAGAAGCAACCAGGAAACCTCCTCCCCCTGCCAGCTGCCCTCCTGCCCCTCTTCCAGCTCAGCTGTCGGGCGCCAGGCGCTGGCACTGCAACACAGTGCATCAAGCCTCTGCCTGAGATACTGCATGCACTATGACTGCCAGTTGAGGCCCAGCTGCTCCCCGTCCAAACCAGCTGGGAAAGCAGAAGGCCCAAGTTCCAGGCTCCTCTCTCCTGCCTGGCCCAGCCCCAGCTGTTGTGGTCATTTGAGGAGCGAACCAGTGGATGGAAGAGCTATCGTTCTCTCTCTAAAATTCTGTCCTTCAAGCAAATAAGTAAATCTTTTAAAAAAGAAAAGCGAATCAGCTCTCCGGTGCCTACCCAGCAATGATAGTGCCAGCGAAAGGCCCAGGGCAGAGGGCAGTGCTGGGACAACAGCATGCACCCAGAGCCAGAGCTTCGAGGACTAGCCTGGGGGAGCCGGCCTCTCCTGCAGCTTCCTTCCCACGGGCCAGGAAAGGGTTACTCCTGCTGAAGCCTCGGAGCCTCGCGCAAGACTACAAGAAGTGCAGGTACTGCACCGTCATCCCAACAAGGCAACTCAGTCACCTGTCTGGTCTGCCATGCTGCCCTTAAGGGAGGGCCAGGCCTGGAGCCCCACTCGCCCTCTCCACTGCGCCCTCCATCTTTTTTCTTGGGTGGGAAAGTGGCTGACCCAGCAGCACCACCCCACAGCACAGAGGCTCAGGCCATGGGGGATGGGGGAGACAGTGGGCCCTGGGGCTGCAGGGTAATCACCACCTCTTGGCCCTCTCGATATGCTGTGGCTACTGCCTCCCAGTCCATTAATGGGCCTCAAAGTGCTGCCAGGGGAGACCACTTAGCCAAGAGGCTATCAGGGGGCCAAACGTGGTGCCCAGCCCCCACCCCACTCATCGATAATGGGCCACAAAGTCTGAGCTTGGCTGCATTCTAAACATAAAATATTCATTCACTTCGACATAATACATATGTAGGCATGTCCTGGGAGCTCCAGGGAGAAGAGAAACGCCAGCCAGGTGGCTAAGTGCTCAGTGGAAAGGAGTTCAGGGTCTTGATTAGCCCGGCCAATGCCTGCCAAGAACTGGCTGGTTCTGGCCAAGGGGGCACAATTTATTCTAAAAACTCTGACTCTGAGGACAGCTAACCAACCAGCCTCCAGGGCAGACACCTTCCCGGTCCTCCCTCACAGTAAGACACGCACGTCAGTGGACCTTGGTCCAAGCTGCGGTCACAGTGGATTGTCATCCGAAACACACCACGCCTCAGGGACCCACTGCCTGTGTCTGTCCTCTGAGTTCCTTCCCCAAGTGCACAGAGCCAGAACAACCTTTTATCATTTACCAGCTCCAGCTGCCTGTGCAGGTCCAAAGGCCAGGCCGGCATGCCATGAAGTCCAGGGACTCTCCCAGCCCCTGCTCTGCTGTCACTCCCTCCCCGACACCGAGGGCCGCACAGAACAGGAGGCTTCGCTTGGTGGTCTGACATTACCACATCCCAGCCCCTGAGCCCCAGCTGGGGTCAGGGGTCAGAGGTCAGAGTCAGAGCCAGCACCCAGTGCTGCCCAGCTCAGAGAGGGAAAGTAAAATGCTAACTCGGCCAATCTCCCGGGAAGACACCTACTGCCAACCATGGAGCACAAGAGGGCCCAAGGGGCCGGAACCCACAGCAGGGTCAAAGGACGGTGTGCCTGGGCACAGGACCTTGAACTTGGGCTTGCCCCCTTGGCAAGCGGCACCCAAGCTCCTTCTGCCATTTACTCCCTGGAAAAGTGCCCCTCTGCGGGCAGTCCCAGGATCCTCTCCAGAGCCCTCGCCTGACTGCTGAAGCCCAGAGGTAGGGCTGGCCACAAGCCATCCAGGCCCTCACCAGCCAGCAGCAGGTGAACTCTGGAAGCTGGACCGTCTCCACCCTTGCCATGGTGACTGCTGCTGCTGGCCACAGGACAAGCAGGCACCCTGCTGACTGCTCTCAACTTTGCCAAGCCTCCAGGCAGGGTGAGCAAAGAATGGAACAGAAAGCTCTGCTCACACACTAACACTCCCCAGAAGTAGCAGCCCCAGGTCAGAACCCCTCTCTGGGAAACGCAGACGGCTGTTATGAAAAAGTGCAACTTGAACCAGGTGTCATGAATATCTCAGACAGGGCTTGCCTTTGTTTTATCTCCTACTTTCACTGTGAGGACGAAGGCCGATTCTTACACTTCAGCACAGGGCAAGTGAGTGTGGTTGTGTCAGATGTGATCAAAGCGCTTCTGGAAACAACTTCTCATCAGCCACATAAAAAAAAAAAAAGCTTGAGAGCAAGAGCAAGAAAAGAGACTGGAGACAACCACTGGGGTTTGTTTACCTATTTTCTGGTGAAACCAGTTTAAATAATTTAACTCTGAAAAAGCTGACTGAGGAGCTGTGGGGGAGGGACTGGGCCCACCCAGCGCCCCTGCCTCCCGTTCTAAGGCCGAGGACCCAGAGGTCTCTACCACCTGCTGACGCGACCTGCCCTAAGGAAGCCACCTGGCCTTGTGACTCGCGGAGCAGCTCGTTTTTAAGGAGCACAGATACTTGCTTGGAACAGTCATCCCAGGTTTTCCAGAGTTTGTGCTTTAACCTGAGAACTACCCGGAAGTGGCTTAGGGAAACCGAAGTCTAGAGGATGTAAAACCAAGAGGAACTCAAACTTGAGAGCACGAGCCAGCACACGGCGGTGCTCTGCCCGAGGGCCGCCCGCTGCCCGAGCCCTCGGCCCTGCCCAGCAGAGTGCTGGGGGAAGCCGACACGTGCCAACAGCACCTCCACGTTTGGTAAACACCACAGAAGTGCAACTCCACACCACCCTGCCGCACAGAAATCGCTGTGGCCTGGACACAGGAGGCCCACGGCGCTGCTCAGCCCCGCAGACGCCGGAGGGTGCCGGCTGCTCCCTCGGCCTCCTCCCAGCGGGGAGAGTTCTCCAGTTAGGCAGGCTCCACCTGCTCAGCCTGCTCAGTTGTGAGAGAGAAAAGGACAGGAGGAGCCACCTCAAGGGGACAGAGAAAGCAGCTCCCAGAAAGCAGAAACAGCTGGCCAGGAGGCCGAGAGACAGCGGGACCCAGCCCCAACGCCCCCGGCCCGGGACTTGCGGCCCATGCGGAGCCAGCTGTCAGGCCCAGGAATGAACGCTCCCCACCCTTCCTTCTCCACGCCCAGTGCACCCCAGAAACAAACAATCCATAAATAATAAAAGGGCCAACCAGTACGGAGAATTCCGTCCACGACGCCTCATGAGTTCCTAACTGTTCAAGTGACCGAGAGCACGGGGTGATAAAATACCAAAACAACAAAACACTAACCAAAGGAAATGAGGTAGTGTTTTGTCAGAGTGGAAGGTAAAGAAAGGAGAGATGCATGCTGTGTAACCACAGCTCTCCCCCAGGGGCTGGAGGGAAGCAACCGGGAGGGGAGCAGACAGAAGGCCAGGCCCCGGAGCCGGGCAGAAGGGCAGCGCTCCCAGCCTGGCTAGCACCAAGGGCTCCACAGGGCAACCAGCAAGGGACCCCAGACGGCCTCCCAAGTGACACCGGCCCCCAAAGCTAGGCCGGCGTGCCAGACCCTAGCCGTGACTGCCGGGTCGCTGGACTTGATGGACTCACAGGAGTGGAAGGGCAGGGAAGCGACCGCGGCGCCGCGCGGGGGGAGGGGGCTGTGGAGAAGACACTTAACGGGGGAGGGGGGAGAGAAGCCATCCCCGCAGAGGGACACGTTTGAGGACGAAGAGGCGAGCAAAGCGACAGCGTGGCAGCAGGCAGGGGGGCAGGATGTGGGAAGCGGAGCACGGCAGAGGTAGCTCCGGAGAGGACCGAGCAACAGGTTGTGCTGGCAGGGCAGAGCGGACAGAGTAAGGGCCCCGTGGCCGTTCGCGGCGGTCGGGGCGGAGGCGGCTGCAGCCCCGCGGGACAACACAGCGGGAAGCCGAGGGCCCGGCCAGCCGAACCCCGGCAGAGAGAACAAGGGGCTCCCCGGCATTCGGAAGGCAGCAGGGCTGGAAGCCCCAGGCAACCTGTGGGCACCCGGCGCGCATGACAGCTGGGAAACACGGAAGCGACAAAGGCCAGGGCGCTCCCGGAGAAAAGCAGGGAAAGTGATGGGAGCCAAGAGGAGGCGAACGCTTTGGAAAGGTGACGAGGGTGGAGCTGGTGGGCTGCGCTCCCGAGGGAGGAAGCAGCGGGGTGGGGGAGGCGCTGGGCACCTGCCAGCGGACCCTGCGGGTCACGACCGGGCACCAGGAGAACCGGGGCGGGAGCGATGCGGGTTAGGGGTGCACGGCGAGCTGTATGGCAAAGCGCGGGGTGCTGCTGGCGGAGCAGGAGCGCGGCTGTTTGGAGCGTGGGTGGAAGAAGACCAGAAAAGGCCCCTGAGAGGGGGAAAAAAAAGGGAAGAGAGGGGAAGCTGAGGAGGTTAACACGGAAGAGCGCAGGAGGGCGGCGAGGGGCGGGCGATTGGCAAAGAGACAAGTGTGCAGTTCAAGGTGGGTCCCGGGTCAGGACTCGGAAGGGGGATGTGCGGGGCCGAAGCCCGGAGCCGGATGACAGGGCAGCCGACGCCTGCGGGATGGCAGCAGGGGCACGACAAGAGCAGAGGAGGGAGAAGACTCCGCAAGGTGCAGGGGCCCAGCCAGAGAATTCGGGGAGCCCTCGGGGCTCCTTACCTGCTCCGTGTCCCTCTCGTTCAGCGTGGGTAGGGGGGTCCGGGCGCTGGACATGGCGCCGGTATCTCAGGGGAGGGAACCGAGAAGCTTGGAGTAAGGGAGGGAAGGGAAGGCGCGGAGCCCGGCCGGGCGGGGCTTCTCACAGCAGGAGCGCCCGCCGCATGGGCCCCGGCCGGGGGTGCGGGGAGGCCCGGGCAGCCGCTCACGCCAGCCCGGGGATGCGCCGCTCGGGCTAGGCCGCGCCGGCTCCGAGCGGCTCCGGACCGCACCCCCCCGACCCCCGGCTGGGCTGTGCCGCCTTTCGGCCGGGCTGCGCCGCTCCGCCTACTCTCTGCCGCCGCAGCCGGCCGCCTGCCTCGCTCCTCCCCTGCCCTCAGCGGCACTGCTCCGCGCCCGGCACACAGGCAGCCGCCGCCGGACCTGCTGCTCCCAACATGGCCGCCAGCACCGCCGGCCCTCGGCTCTTTCCGCCGGCAGCAGCCGGAAATATCCGAAGCGCTTAGAAACGGGAGGGGATCAAGCCTCCTCCTCCCGGTCGGGGACCACGGGTGAATTCCGGAAACAGCCGAAGAAGGTAATCCCCGGAGACGCGCGCGCAGCTCCGCGAGTCCGAAGGCCGAGCTTCGGCTCTGTTTACGGAAATCTACGAAGGAACTCCGGACCCTCCTGAGCGCCCCGCCGAGGCCACGCCCACCGGCCTTTCCCCGCCCACATCAAGCTGGCTTTCGGCAGTTTCCGGAAACACCCGAAGAGCCTCCGCGTGGTGAGCCGACCACGCCCCCGTCCCGCGGAGCGGCCGAGGGAGGCAGTCGGCCATTTCCGGCAACACCCGAGGCCTGCCGAGCGCCCCCTTGTTGCTCCCCCGGGGTTCCCAGAGCCCGGTTCTTCGTTTCTTTCCGTCAGTTTTCGGGTATTTTCAAACAGTGAGCCAGACGCGTGGATCCCTGCGCGTGTTTTTATTTGACTAACTAGGAAGCGAGACTGGTGGCTGTTCCTGCGGTTGGCATCCCTCAGCTGTGCGGCAGCTTCCTACTGCGTGTCTGCTCACACCTCTATGGGCTGTAGAATCCACCTTCTCGGGGCTGGCACAATGGGTCAAATAACGAATGCCTGCATCCCACATAGGCGCCAGTTCTCGTCCTGCCTGTTCCCACTCCTGGCTTAGGATCAGCTCACCTCTGCTGCAGCCATTTGGGCAATGAACCAGCAAATGGAAGAGCCTCTCTCTGTAAATCTGCCTTTCAAATATAAATTTTTTTTTTTAAATCCACCTTCTGGTTGTCATGCAGCCTACCTCTTATCAACATGTGTCACCCGTAGGGGCAGCCACCTATTACCTATTTACGTACTGCCCACTGCGGCCCCAGGGCTTCCGTGCATCTGTCTAGAATGGCCAGCTTCTGGTCTGAGGGGCTTTGCCAAGGCCAGCATCTCCCACGCTTGGTTGCAGGAAGCTTTTGAGGCTCTGCCACCCAGCCCCAGCTGTGCCAACCTGAACGTACTGCCCTCCCTACACAGAAGGCATTCATTTCGTTGGAATTGGCATTCCAAAGAACATCTTTGAGTTCCATGTTTTTCCATTATTTTTAAAGATTTATTTATTTTCATTGGAAAGTTGGATAACAGATAAGAAGAGAGACAGCGCAAGATCTTCCGTCCAATGATTCCCTCCTCAACTGGCCACAATGGTCATACTGAGCCAATCCAAAGCCAGGAGCCTCTTCTGGGTCTCCCACACAGGTGCAGGGTCCCAAGGCTTTGGGCCGTCCTCGACTGCTTTCCCAGGCCACAAGCAGGGAGCTGGATGGGAAGTGGAGCTGCTGGGATGTGAACCGGCGCCCATATGGGATGCCTGTGCTTGCAAGGCAAGGAGTTTAGACACTAGAGTACCAAGCTGAGCTGTCCAGTAATTTTTTTTTAAGATTTATTTATTTTTTTTATTGCAAAAGCAGATATATAATAGGACGTGAGACAGAGAGGAGGATCTTCTGTCCAATGATTCACTCCACAAGCAGCCACAACGGATGGAGCTGAGCCAATTCGAAGCCAGGAGCCTCTTCTGGGCCTCGCACATGGGTGTAGGGTCCCAAGGCTTTGGGCCGTCCACCACTGCTTTCCTAGGCCACAAGCAGGGAGCTGGATGGGAAGTGGAGCTGCTGGGATTAGAACTGGCACCCATATGGGATCCTGCCGCATGCAAGGTGAGGACTTTAGCCACTAGGCTACTGTGCCAGGCCCTGTTCAGTAAGTTTTTAAAGGCTCCAGCAAGACATGCCAGGGAAAGAGGGCTTTTAAAAGATAATGCACATTTTCTAGTGGTGAAGTGTACTAGGGACACCCACGTGGGAGACCCTGAGATGAAATTCTGGACTCCAGGCTCCGGCCTGGAGTTGTGGGAAGGAAAACGCAGTTCTCTGTCTTTTAAACAAACTCCCCACACAAAAAGAAAATCTTAATTAAAAGAATCTTTTAGAGATAGTGTACGTCTCCCATGCGGGAAACCTGAAAGCTCCAGGCGCAGACTGGGGAGTGAGCCAGCTTCCTCTCCCTCCTCATGTGTACTGTCTTTCAAATTAAAAAAAAAAAAAAAAGTTTTTAAAAAAGCATGCATTTCTCATGCTTTCAGAGATCGTCTACTTATTGGAGACAGCAGGTGAGCAGGAAGAGGAAGTCCCACGTCCCAGGCAGGTTGGCACCGGGAGCTGGCAGTTCCAGCCTCACTCCGAGGTGGGTGGCAGGAGCCATTCCCGACATGCTCAAAGCTGCTTCCCAAGTCTGGCTCAGCAGGAACCAGAGGAGGGGAGCAGACCCTGGGCACTGGACGCAGGCCCCTGCTCGGGTATGGGCCACAGGCACCACACCAAGGGAGGTGTCTCCCCCGACCTTCTCATCTTGTTCCCCATTTCTCTCATGAGACAAACATGTGGGCAATCAGGAGGATGATTCTTCAGGCCTCTGTCAGCCTCAGTTTCCCCACCAGGAAAGTGAGGTCACTGCATTCATGAATTCTGAGATCCGGGAAGCCCCTGCTGCAAACAGGAAGTCGGTGCGTCTATTCTTTTCTTCCTGCTGGGGTGTCTCGCACAGGACCTGCAGCAGCTTAGGCTCCTGACACGGGACGAAGTGGGACTAACTGTGCTGGGCTGAACAGCTGCTCACAGTGGGCAGGGACCACAGGTCCCCAGAGGGGCAGGAGCAGGGAGGGCCCAGCGGTTATACGCAAAGTGCCAGTAAGCCCACTGACAAGGTACCAGTTGACTTCCAGTTCACAGAGGCAGCACGTGAAGCCAAGCCCAGGGTCAGGCGAACCAGGGAAAGACACAGCTGGATAGAAGTGAGAGGAGGGATACAAATCTTCCTAAAACTACAGACTAAGGAAGGTGGCCAGGACCCTAAGCCACCTCCACGTGCCCTAGCCCAGCTCCAGTCAGCCCTTTGACCACTGAGAAAGAAGTTGGGTATGGCGGGCCCAGTGCAGTAGCCTCGTGGCTGAAGTCATTGCCTTGCATGTGCCAGGATCCCATGCGGGTGCCGGTTCTAATCCCAGCGGCCCCGCTTCCCATTCAGCTCCCTGCTTGTGGCCTGGGAAAGCAATCGAGAACAGCCCAAAGCCTTGGGACTCTGCACTCATATGGGAGACCCAGAAGAGGCTATGGGTTCCTGGCTTTGGATTGGTGCAGTTTTGGCCATTGTGGCCACTTGGGTAGTCAGTCAGCAGGTGGAAGATCTTCCTGTCTCTCCTCCTCTCTGCATATCTGACTTTCCAATAAAAATAAAGAAATCTTAAAAAAAAAAGTTGGTGATGGCAGTCAAGGAGGAAAAGAGGAGGGGACAGGGACACTGCCCACTGCCCCTTCCCCACATTCCACCCCCCAAAATCTCTGCGAATCATCTGCCCTCTGGTGGCCAAAGGGAGACATGCTGTTGATTCCTGGGCCCGCTGTTACCTCTGAGATCAGGGTGCTGTGAAGCAAAGGAAGGGGGTCCCATCCCTTCTGTCCTCCAGGCTGCCTCACCAGCCCCACTTGTGGCACAGGTTGCCTAACCAGCCTCCCACCCTAGACCCCCTATGATGCACCTGCCAGCATGACCCTCCTGTGCTCTGTTGGAAGGCTATGGCCGGCTCCCCTGAGGGCTGTGACCAGGCCTGACTCTATGAGCCCGGGACCTGCTGGCACAGAGGCCTGCACTCAGACCACGAGTTGGGTCTCACATCTTTACCAAGAGGGACCTACTGTCTCCTCTGGCGATGGACCCTGCATGTCATGTTCCTAGCTGGTGGAGCAGCCTTCGGCCTGTGCTCAAAGCTTTGCTCAGTGTGGCCTCAAGTCACCTTTGCCAACACGTCCTCCCCTCGGTGCCGACACCTCTCCCCGACTCCCTCTCCCTCCCACACAGCCCTCATGTCCCCGTGCCCTTGTGTTGGCAAATCAGGCTAACTTGTCCCCACCATGTCCCTCGGCTTCCCAGGCATACTTCAAGATGTGGTCTAGGGTGGGCATTTGGTGCAGCAGCTATGGCATTGCTTGGGACAGCCGCAATCCCTGCGGCCCAAGGGGTCAGAGCCGAATGTCTCGTCAGTGTGAGGCCAGCGGTTTGCGAGCCCCTCCCCATCCTCGGCCGCATTTGGTGTCAGAATGGCTCTGCATAGACAGTTTTTCTTCCCCTCCCAGTCCCTAAGGAAGACATCAGAGAAGACAAAGGCTGTGGGAGTAGGGGGATGGGATGGGGAGGCAGCACCCACGGTCCTGGATGGATAACGGCACCCCCAGCCTGGGGGAGACCCCTAACGAGTGCGGGGAGTTCTCCTGGCGTTTCGGCAGGGCTGGGTGTGGAGGGTGGCCCAGGGAGGATACTAAGCAAGCAGGCACCTGGGCACTGGGTGGGCCGGCTGGGGTGCTGAAACCAAGCCCTCTAGCACACTCTATCTTCCAGGAGCCAGGAGGTGATCCCCAGTGGCTCCCCACCCACACATTGAGCCCTGGGCTCCCCGTGGAGGCTGTGGCTGGAGTCATGGAGCAACCATGCCATTCATCACCATGGCAACCGCCCTGTGTAGAGAACTGTCCTCCACGGCCGCAGGAGTACACCCAAGAGGGCCCTTGACAAACATTTCTTGAGCATTTACAACACAGGGCGCCCTCCAACGAAGGCCTCACAAGCTGGACACTGCCCAGGGAGCTCCCAGTCCAGGCGGCTCCACCGTGAATCATGCCATAGGAGTGAAGTGGCAGTGAGGAAAAATATGAAGCCATCAGCCTGCCTTGCAGCTGTGAACACACAAGGCGTCAACGTAAACATGGCCACAGGACAGGAAGGACTGGAAAGCCATTGCAAGCAGTCGTCATCCCTGCTGTGCCCAGGGCAAGTTGATAATGTTCAATCCTTCACATTACCCAAGTCACAAGGTTCACCAGCCCTCAGACCTGGGAACTTGCTGGCCCACACACCGGCAGAGCCACTCCTGACCCAACACGTGGTGTTTTGAGTCCTGGGCCTATTTTCCACGATACCTCACCATCTTTCCATCTGCCATAGACAAGGCTGCCACACACATTCTCGGGCTCCTTCTCCAGAAAAAAAAGAGACCCTGACCTAGCAGTCCATCAGGCTGGGACACCCCTTCACAGGTGATACCCTTCCGGGCTGGCACAGGGCACACTGCACGTCAAGACCCTTCATGATAGACATGAACTTTCTGACCGAAGTCAGCTCTCCATCATCCTGCTCTATGCCCAGCTCTATCCGTGAGCCAGTCAGGAGCAGTGAAGCCAACCAGCAGGGACGTGGCCCTGCAAACCAAGCCTGCCATGAAGCCAAGAGGACGGTGGATTCTGGGGTTTGAGGGAGCCACGTGTGAGTTCTGGCTGACCACAGAGAGGATGGCTCCATCAAGGAGGGAAAGCAGCCTGGCAGAGACAATGGGCCAGCTGATGGTCCAGGGCATGAGAAGAAAGTTCAGGCAGGCAAAGGCTTGGCTGAACTCCCATCTGAGGCCAGGTTAGAGGAGGTTGTGCAACTCAAGACCACAGGACACTCCAGCCCCACGTGCCCACTTCCCCTTTGTGGTCTGGGAGGGGCACCTCTGCCCCCCTGTAGGCTGGCTGTGGCCATTTTTTTACATGGAATTTCAGCTCTCCGGTAGAGCATCCCTGGGCCCCTACAGTGGCCTCCCAAGTAAGTCAGAAGTATGATGCTAGCAGCAGGTGCACAGTACTCTGGCATGCCGTACTGGAACACTCGGCTTCGGTGTTGGCTACCTTACTTCCGATCCAGCTTCTTGCCACAGGTGTCATGGGCTCAAGCACGACAGCTCGGACTGTCACCTGAACTCACTTTCCAAGAGCTCCTGTCCTCTAAGCTCACAGTGGCCTGGACTGTGGGAGACCTAGTTAGAATTCTGGGTGTTGCAGGCATTTGGGGAATGAGGCAGAGGATGGGAGGAGCTTTCTCTGTACCCCAAAGTAAATGCAGCCGGGAGTTATGATCCCCAGAGCAGAGGTGAGGGAAGGTGGCATGCTACCCCCACAGCCCACAGCAAGCCAGTCCCAGCTCCGACGCCCAGCACAACACTGCCCTGGGGACCGACCCGCCACCCAGCAACATCTCCACTCTCCTGCATCACAGGTGGCTCTGGGACCCAGCTGTCCTGTCCAATCTCTTCACCAAACAGAGTCCAGTCGGTGCTCTTAATAAAAAAAAATAATTTATTGTCAACAAAGGCGATATATATACAACAGAACAGGTGAACAAGGTAAGGGGAGTGACCAGAGCCCCAGGCGGTGCCGGGCCCGTGCAGGGATGAAGTGGGAAGAGGTAATGAGGGTCTCCTGGCTCAGGAGCCTGAACGAGTGGGGGAGGAGAGGTGCCCCCCGAGGTAGTGGGACTCGGCTCAACCCCGTTCTGACCACCTCCTCTGTGTAAGGCACTGTGCCGGGGGAGAAGGGTGGGGAGCCAGAGGGCGGGAGGAGGTGGGGACGGAGGTGCGGGTCAGCAAAGGATGGGGTGAGTGTTCTCCACAGGCCCAGTGCCCTACTGTACAACAGCCTCCGACACCCGGGGTTGACATTTTCCAGCGCCCCAAGGTTCCAGCAGATACTGCCCAACAGACGATCAAGCTGGACTGCTCCAAGTTATAAGCCAAAGGCGGGACACCGTGTCTGCCCTCCCACCCGCCCCAGGAAAGCAAGAATTTACACCCCACCCCCCGCCTCTGGCTGCCCTGGCCCAGCAGCGCTGGGTCCTGATAGAACTGTGGGCCAGTCTGCAGTGTCACCTGCTCCCACAGCCTTAGAGCCCTGGGGGCGCTTGGACCAGTCTTGCAGGAGGCTGACGGCCGGAGGTTCCTCCATCCGCACGCGGATAACCTGGAGATCCAGTGTCCCGCGGAGCCCCGGTGGGGGAGCTGGCAGGGGTGGGAGCAGAAAGCAGAGTCAGAGTTCTGCAAGCCCTCAGCCCAGCGGTGTTTGGGAAGCTGAGGACCATGGGAGCCAAGGAATGCCAGGCCCAGATGCCTGCTCCCCCAACTCTACCCTTTAGTGGACAATTCGACCTCAAACCACTGTGCGTCCTGGCCTAACGGGTAAAAGCAGTGAGACCCAGCTTTGCCCACCAAGCAGTGGACAAGCAGGGCCGGGAGAGGAGTGCTGGAGAGAGCCCTAGGTTAGTGTCTGGCTGCACTTCACAACTTCCACCCGATTTTGGCCCTGGCAGCAAGACCTGGGCCCCACAGCCTAGCTGTCCAGTTGAGGAGTCAGGAGGAGCTGCTGCCAGTGAGGAAAGTAGAGGATCTAGACAGGGCACAGGGGCCGCCACGGAGCCCGGGCAGGAACGGCATGCTGTCCCCCGGGCAAGCAGCCCTTTGCAAGAGGCTTTCCTTACACTCTCTTCAGAAACACAAGGGTTTGAGAAGTGGCAGAGCAGACAGGTACAGTTTCTGTAGTGACTTCTGGGCTGTCCCCAGGTTGTACGATTCTGCTTGGAGCTCACATGAGCAGGCCGAGGGAGGACTGAACCCCACTCATTTCTTCCCTGACCAACAACGGCTTACTGAGCACCTATGACGTGCCAATGTTGTGCCACTCACTGCACCGACCGTTCGTGGTGACAATCAACAAACACATCAACAAGACAGACGCCACGTCGGAACCCCAGGGCCAGGAGACAGGGCAGCCAGCTGCGTACAGTTTTAACAGCAAAGCAAGGACTTAGCTAGATAGCAGGCTGGAAAGAGCAAGTGCAGGTGCCAGGCGAAGAGGGGAAACATCAGGGGCCTGGTGGGGAGACCCTGGTGCCCCAGGAGGCTCTGGCCTTGTTTGGAGTGTGACAGGGAGAGAGGGCCTAGAAAGTTCTGAGCAAAGCACAATGGGCAAAGTTCCAAGGCCAGCCGCCAGGCCATGGTGGCGGCAGGAGAGTGAACTCTGACCCTGTGCGGGGGTGCAGAGAGCCGGACAGGATGACCCAAAGGTCTGGCCCGAGGCAACAGGTGGGTGAAGGATGCAGTCAAATGGCTGGCACACACTAAGATGAGCCTCGGGGTCTGGCCTGGACCTGCCAGCTGGGCAGCTGAAAGAGGGGCTGGAACCTGGGGCCGAGCAGGGGGCCATGGACCAAGGTGGGAGAGAGGAGCACACAGGAGGTATTTAAAGGTGGGTGCCTGGGTGTGAGGCACAGCTGGAAGGACCTCCTCACTTCTTCGCTCACGCACAACACAGCCACTGGAATCAGCACGGCACAGGACAGTCACACCCCGACCCAGGGTGCAAGCATTCTAGCAACGAAAGATACTGCGAGCCCTGCAGCACCGGGCCTGAGGGGCAACTTGCAAGGGAAACTGGAAAGCAGACCAGGGGCTGCCCCAGGCACAGTGGCAGGACCAGAGCACAGGACTGGATTTCACTGCGGGGAAAGCCATTGATGACCTGGCTGCAAAAAAAACAGATTTCAGGTGGAATGTGGAAGATCCAAGTTTGCCTGAAGTGGATTCCAGAGATTGGGCAATTTCAGTTCTGAGAATGCCTCCCAGCTTTGTCAGACAGTTTGGGGTAAATGGGACAGTGGCTAGAGGGAATGAGCGGCAAACAACAGTTGTGTGTGAACTGCTGAAGGTCCACAGGGCCGGGCGGGCACTGGCAATGGGGGCAGGAGGGGCAGGTGGACTTAACAGGCACCAGGGGCGAGTTTACCCTTCCGCAACGCGGAAATCAGTTCCGTGCGTGCTGCTTGTGGCCTTACAGGAGAGTTCAGGAAGTTAGGGACTTCCCAAGCCAATGGACCTCGGGGCCATTTCTCCCTGCTGCTAAGGAGGAAGGCGGGAGGTGTGCGGAGGTCGGCAGAAGGAGGCTGAGGGGTGGCAGAGCGATCTAGGCCCCAAGCTGGGAGGACTGCGCAGCTGGACCCAAGTCCCCAGCCTGCTCACTCTCCTCCCTTGTTTGGGTCTCAGGGGATGCTGGTTCCTTCCCCAGCGTGTTGGGCATCAACGGCTGGGGCTCTGGAGACGTCATCACAGCCAGGGCCAGGCAGGCAGCCACTTTTCACCCACACTTTCTTGGTCAGGCACTGTCCCAGGGGCCAAGGACCCCAGCCCTCTAGTGCTTGGGCAGGTCTCCATGTGTGTTTCCCGGCCAGGGCTCTGGGTCTCCCCCAAAGCAGTACACAACGAGGGTGCTTTTCTGTCTTGTCTGCGTGTGGGTCCCACAGCTCGCCTTTCTTCTGGCTTGGACACCCTTCCCTACTCTCACCCCATGAAGCCCAAGGAACATTCTAGAAGTCTATGTGTCCCAGCTTGCTTCACCTATGGGCAGGATATGTTCTGAGAAGGCCACACTGCTGCCAGGCAGACAGCACACAGCTGCCTGGGGCCCACAGGCTCCCAAGAGCAGGGCTCCCTCAGGCTGAAGTCGCTGCCCCAGCGCCCGTTCTGCCCAGCCTGTGGGTGAGCCCTACTCTAAACAGCTGGAGACAGAGCTGCCTGCCTCCTGTACCAACCATACAGCTTGCCTCAGGGCTGGGCCCTGCGACCACTCACTGCTCCTTTCCTGAGCGCCTCCTGTGGTTTCTGGACCACCCTTGCCCCACAGCCCGGTCTCCAGGAATCCTGCCTCTCTGCTACTATCCAGTCAGCTCAGGGAGCCTCCCCTCATCTCCTTACAGGTCACCCTGGAACTCCGAGTGAAGCCTCTCATTAGAGAATGATGGCAGAAGACCCCTACACAGTGGCACAGGCCAGCCGTGCAGGGCCAGGGCACGCTAGCAAGGAGCCGGGGAGCGCCCAGCTGCAGGCAGAAGGTGCATCCCAGCATGCGCAGCTGGAACAGGACTCAAGCTGGGACGTGAGAGGCCAAACCGTGACCTAGAGGAAGGGGCCACCGAGTCAAGAAGGGAAAGACGTCCTGGTGACTCAGCAAGCAGGCAGCGTGTGCATGCACCCTGCTCTCCAGGGATGTCAACGCGCCGAGCGTGGCCCAAGCAGCACACACACAGGCATTCCACAGCAGAGGCACGGCCCCGCCAGCCGGCAGCGCACTCAGAGCTCTTGCATCCAATGCCGCACAGCCTGGGAAAGGAGGCAGGCCATTTCTGGGAGACCTACTCAATCCCCGCGAGCTGTGTCTGGCGTGGGGAGGGACAAGATGAAGCTGGCGTGGCCTTGCCCTACCCAGTCTCCTCTGAACTCTTCCCGCTGGGTCCGCCTACTCTGGCTACTGAATGATGCCCCCAAAGATGTCACATCCAAACCCCCAGCCCTGTGGCAGGTGAAGGCTGCCGATGAAGTAAAGCTGCTCATCAGTTGGATAAAATACAACATACGGGCTTTGGCCTTAATGGCCAGAGTGAGCCTGACATAGCAAGAGTCCGGCTACGCGGAAGGGGGAGGCGGCTGGGTCACAGCTGCCTGGGAAGCTGGAACAAGGAGACCTCGGCAAGCCAGGCCACACGAGAAGGCCAAGTTTTCCTGTCTGTACCCCAATTTTCAGCTCAGTGAAGATTCACCACGGCCCCGACCTTTGAACCATGTGCTGCTCTGAGCACCGGGTTTACAATGATGCGTTTCGGCAGCCACCGCACCATGGCAAAAAGATGCGGAGAGCTCAGGAAAGGAGACAGAGAGCTGCTTTTTTTCCTTTGTTTATATTTACTTGAGGGAGACAGACAAAGCCGCTATGCATGGGCTTGCTCCCAAAGTGCCTGCAGTGCCCGCGGCCAGCCAGGCTGGAGCTGAGAGCCCGGCCGGGTCTCCCTCGCGGCTGCCTCCCAGTGTGTGACGGAGCCAGGAAACTCACACACCCTGATGTAGCAGGCCAGTGTCCCAAGTGGGATCAGAGTGGCCAGGTCCAAGGTCTGCCCTGACATCTACCGCCTCCTAAGATACAAGTTTCTGAAACAGCAATGGGTGTTTAGCCCAACCATTAGGATACCTGTGTACCCCACGTCACCTGAGCTGAATCCAACACCCGGTGCCAGGCTCCCTGCCACGTGCCTGCTGTGCACACGTGGACAGTCAGCCACCTCTGCGAACTTGTTTCCCTTGAATAAGTTCATTCTGGCTGTGAAAATAGTCAACCATGCCTGGTTCCAGCTCAGGTGACAGGGCTCCTGTCCCCACATGAAAAACCTGGATTGTGCCCCTGGTGGCCGAGTTTTGACCCTCCCTGGCCACAGCCATCACAAGCATTCGTGGAGTGATACAAAGGATGGGAGATTTCCCCTGACCCTCTGCCCCTCAATGGAATACAAACCAGCAGGCCGCAGCACAGATGCAAGTACTGAGTGCCGTTACTGGGCGCTGACTGGGCTGGCGTCCCCAGGCAGGAGTATGTCCCTGGTCACGACCTGTCTGCTCTGACACCTGCCTGCTGGAATGGCTGGGCAGACCCCTAGGAGGTGGACACAGGGACCAGCCTCCCATGTCACACAGCTGTTAGGCCTCTAGGCGGCGGCAGCACAGCTCTCTGACCCCACGGCTACTCCCATGAAAACTCCTAAGAAATGCTGAGAAAAGCTTATCGCCTGCCACCTCCCCATCAGCTAGACAGCCCACCCGAGGCAGCGTCCCTCAGGGCATCCACACACCTGTCTGAGGGGCCAGGACCGGAAACGCTGTCCACCCACCAACCTACTTGGGTTCTGTTGGAAGGGCTCACCTGGAGAGAGATCCTCCGGCTGGGCAAGGCCAGCCCCCGCCGTCCGGCACTGCTGAGGCGAGTCCTTGGCGTCGGCAGCTCTGAGCTGCGTGTGGGAGAACAGCTGAAGGACGAAGCCGGGGGGAAAGCTGCCGTCGGTGAAGTGTCGGACCTCGGCCGGTGCTGCGAACGTCTCAGTGGGTGATTCGGGCGATGGGGGGTCTGCAGGGAGATGAGGGGCCGGCGTGAAGGGAGCCAGAATCCCGGGTGAGAGCCTGAGGTCCCAGGGCAGCCACCACGGCCTTCTGCCCACAGCCCAATCCTCCTCACCACCAGGTCTGCCCTCACCTGGGTCTGGGCTTTTGGTCACGGCTCTGCCTCTCTTCTTCCGGACCGGCTCCTCCCCGGCTGGCTCCTTCCACCTCAGTCCCCTGGGCTTCTTGCTCGCTGGCTCAGCGATGGGGGCTGCTGCAGGGGGCAGAGACCTTCCGCCAGGCCTGAACCCACCACCCCAGGCCTCCTACACCCTCCCTCCGACCCCTCCGGCTCCCCTAGGGACTGACCAGGAAGCTCGAGGGGGCGCAGTCCCCTGGGCCGGACCCTCCGAGGGAGTATCGTGTTGTCCTCGGGATCAAGCAGGACCACGATCTCTGCTGGTGTCTCAGCAGGGTCCGGGAAGGAGGCCTGGTCCGGCGGCGCGTCCCGCCCTGAGTGGGAAGTGGGCAGAGCCTGGTGAGCCGTGAGCGATGGGCCCGCCTCTCCCTCCTCCCATCCCGGGTCCCGAGAGAGTACCTGGGCCGGGAGAGCAGGGCTGCTCCGCGCCAACATCCTGCAGCAGGGCCACTCCCTCGCCCCAGGCCTCCAGGATGTTGCCCTTTTCAGAAGGGCTCAAGTCCAGGGTGTGAGGGTGCTGCTCCAGAATGTGTGCCCGGGCCGTGTCAGCAGAGGGAGCCCGGATCTCGGCGCCACACACCATGCACAGCGCCCGCCCGCTGCCTCCTGGGCTGTTGCCCACCAGGAACTCCTGCTCCCAGGACACCTGCTGCCTCGGCTCCTCGCAGCCAGCCTCCAGCAGGCTGGGCCGTGGCGGAGGGGTCTTCTCCCGCTGGGTGACTGCACAAGGAAACGAGACACAACAGCTGGCAGTGCTGCAGTGGGATCCCCACCGGTTCTGGGGTTTTGCAGAGGGTGGGGGCTTCCCATACAAAATCCAAAGCAGCCCCCTTCTAGGCCCAGAGAGCCTCAGGAAGCAGAGTCCTCCTTCACCTCACAGCGGGGTCCTGAACATGTTTCAGGGCCTGGCGGCATAGCCTAGCGGCTAAGGTCCTAACCCTGAACGCACCGGGATCCCATATGGGCGCCAGTTCTAATCCCAGCAGCTCCACTTCCCATCCAGCTCCCTGCCTGTGGCCTGGGAAAGCAGTCGAGGATGGTCCAATGCTTTGGGACCCTGCACCTGTGTGGGAGACCGGAAAAGAAGTTCCTGGCTCCTGGCTTCAGATCGGTGCAGCACCGGCCATTGCGGTCACTTGGGGAGTGAATCACCAGACGGAAGCTCTTCCTTTCTCTCTCCTCTGCTCTGTATATCTGACTTTGTAATAAAAATAAACAAATCTTGAAAAAAAAAAAAAAGAACTACACATTTCCCCAACAGGCTCTGGACTGCGCACACCTGGGTTGACCACTGCGGATGATGTCGCCCCAGAAACCCATGCATTCCCTCTCCCTGACAGCTGGCTAGCCACTGGGCCGCTGGGTCCACTTTCACAGGGGCAAGGCCAGAAAAGTACAGGACTGATGCTCACCCGGAGGAGGCGCCCACAGGCCTCCCTGCTGCTCCAACTGCCTCTCCCACCCTGTCAGCCCACCTGTACCTGCCCCTGGGTATGGATCACACACCCCAACAGGCAGCCCCAGGCTCACGACAGCAGGGCTAACCCTGGCAGGCCGCAGAGGTGGCGTTTGAGATGGACCCCAGCCTTGGGCTGCGCAGGGTGGCACCTCTCCTGTGTGACCACTGACAGGAATCCCACCTCCTGGTGACAACAGGCCCTGCTGCCCATCACTGCTCCAAGTGCACCGGCGGCTGCTGGGTCCACGATGCTAAAGCAGAGGGCAGTGCTTCTGCTCCACCAGGGCCCACAGCGTCCTCCGACCAGCCTCTCTCCTCACCCGGCTGCCACTGCGGCCTCACTTCCCTGGGGCCAGCTCCATTCCCCCAGCTGGGCACCCCTCCCCTAGGGTCTGTGTGCCCACTCTCTCCACGACAGCTCGGATGCTGGGTGCTGGACAAGGCCGGCCTCCATCCAAGGTGGATGTCATCGTGGGACACCTCCAGGGCTCAGACCTTGGCCCTTCCGCTGAGACATCTCCCGACGCTGCCTGCCTGCCAGCGTGAACCTGGGACTCCTCCCTCTGGACCGCGACAGGCAACTCCAACCTGCCACAATCCAACCTCAGCTACTATCTCCCCACAAGTCCGTCCGCCTCCCCCCAGTTCACCCTTTCACCCCAAATCCTTCCAAAGACTTGGACCTCAGGAGCGTTGCTCTTGTTGTTCTAGCTAAAAATTTAAAAAATGTTATTTATTTGAGACCTCCTCCCCATCTGCTGGTGCAATTTTCAAATGTCTGCAACAGCCGGGGCTTGCCCAGGAACGCAATCTGGGTCTGGCAGGATCCCAACCCTGGGAGCCATCCTCACCGCTGCCTCCCAGGCACACAGCGGCAGGAAGCCGGAAGGCAGAGCAGAGCTTGACTGAACATGGCCCTCCGAACACAGACGTGACCTTGCTAAGCCACGTCTTTTTTTTTTTTTTAAGGTCTACTCATTGTTTGAAAGGCAGAGTTACAAAGAGAGATTTGCCTATCTACTGGCTCTCTCCCACAACGGCCATGCATGGATGGGCCAGGTTATCCAGGACTCCCATCTGAGTATAAGGGTCCACTCAGGACACCTGCTGTTGCTCTCCTGGGCCCCTGGCAGGGTGCTGGAGAAGCAGCAGAGCGAACTTGACCAGAGCTCAGAGGGGGAGTGCGCTGCTCTGGCCACCCGCCTGTGTCCTCCCAGTTCTTCCCCTGGCCACCTCCCACTATCCTCAGACCTGCATGCCAGAGGACCACCACACGAGCCTTCGCTGACCATCAATCCAAAAGACAAAAACACACCTTTCCCACCTAATTTCGCTGCTGTCTCTGACTCGCGTGCACGGATTTACCCATCTCCCACCATTGGCACACCGGCAGAGCAAGCAAGGTGGACCACAGACACTGGCCCACCCGTGACAGGGTTCCTCAGATAGCTCCTCCCCCAGGCAGAGGGACACTCCATGAACATTTATTTAGCAGGAGCAGGGAGGAGAGCCCGCCTTTATTTCCCTCAACAAGGCTGACACCCTCGTGATCCCGAGAAGGGCAGGAGGCAGGGGCCGTTCTGTTCCCTGCTCCCCCCAAGAGGAAGCTGGGAGGTGAGCAGAGAGGGCCTCGTACTCCCTCCAAGCTAATTTTTCCTAGAAGAAGGCTTTGTTTTCTGTTGCTTTGCCAACTCCTGAGCGCGGAGACCATGGAGAAGGCGGAGGAGGCCCAGGGTTCCTGAATCCCTCCCCACGCCCAGCCAGAGCAGGTTCCCTAAAGGCGGGCACTGCCTGCGGCCCATTCACCAGCCCTGACACCTGTGGCTTTTGCAAGTGGAAGAGGTGGCTAGGCGAACCGGGGAGCGCATCCAAGTCCTCCGCTGGGTCGGCGGCCCCGCTGGCCTTCACCACCCCCTACCCCCCCAATTCCGCTCTGGACAGCACAGCTGCCGCGCCCAGGTCCGGGCCTAGAGGCCTGGTCGCCCCTCGGCCTGCAACACAGCCCGGCCAGTGAGCTCGCCGAGGAGGCAGGCTGCCGGGGGAGCGGGGAGCGGCTGGGGGCGGCGGTCTCCGGGGCTCAGGACCCAGCCGAGGGGACGCTCGGGCACCGGAACATCCGGAGCGTTTGGGGCGTGGATCGAAAGCTCCAGACCCTGAGCGGGGGGAGGCCCGAGATTCCAAACCGGGTGGGGGAGGAGCAAGAGCGCGCCCCGGTCCCCGGCTGGGAAGCGGGGCTGATGTCTGGGGCCCCCTCAGAGGGGGCGAATTTGGAAAGCGGGGGTGGGGGGGTGTGTATCCGGACCATCCCCCTCCTCCTAACACACACACCTTGACCCTGGCGGCGGCGGGTGGGAGGGGTCTGCACCCCGCAGCCAGACCACGACACAGGAGTGGGGCTCATCCTCACCTCTGAGCCTCGGCTCGGGCCGGGGGATCACGGCCACGACCACCGCCTCATCGTCGTCCTCCTCGTCGTCTTCGCTTTTGAGCTTCACCTCGAAGCAGTCGAGCGCCGAGCCCTCGGCCCCCAAGGCCATGGCGCGGCCCGGGCGAGCGCGGTGACTGGATGCCGGGCGCGCAGGCCTCCCGCCCGCGCCCGGCCCACGGCCGCCGTGTCCAGCGCAGCCCGCGTCCACGCCGCGCGCCCGCCCGGCCTCGGGGAAGACAACTCACAGAAACACCAACCCGGGCGGGGAGGGCTCAATCCGGGGCCCCAGACGCCGCCGCTCCCTGTTTATAGAGGCCCAGGGTCTGCGCCCGCCCTCCGAGCCCGCCCATCGTCCGGCGCGGCCAATGGCGGCCATCTCCGCCCTGGTCCCGCCCAGGGCACGCGGTCCGTTAGCAGCCGGGGGACCCGCAGGGCGGCGTGAAGGCGCGCGTGCTCGCGGCCGCCCCCCTCAGCCGCGGACCCCCACGGACCCCAGGGCCGAGGCGGCGTGCGCGCGCGCGCGCCGGCGGGCGGCAAGGGGACCCCCGGGCGCGTCCGGGCCGGGGGCACCCAGTGCGCTTCGTGGAGACGCCCCCGCCGTCGGCCGGCCTCTGCGAGCGGCGCGCGCGCAGGCTTCCTGGAGCCCCCAGCATCTTGCTCAGGATCCCTTTCAGCTCTGGAAGGCGGGAAAGCGGCTAGGGTCTCGAGCTTGGGCGGGCGGAGCAGGATTCCGCCTGTGGCCCGGCCCTGTGACTTTGGGGATGCCGAATTCCTGCCCTCCTTTTCTTTCAGAAACCTTTGGGAAGCGGGGACTGTAAAAAATGTGGAGGAACCGGCTAGCCGGGGGTGCGCGCGCCACAGTAGCTGTGCGTCATTTTATTAATTGTGTCCGTTCTATACTTTTTTTAAAAAAGATTTATTTTATTTTTATTGGAAAGGCAGATACACAGAGAGGAGGAGAAACAGAGGAAGATCCTCCTTCCGACGGCTCACTCCCCATCCCCCAGCGACCATAGCAGCCGGTGCTGTGCTGATCTGAAGCCAGGAGGTAGGAACCCCTCTGGGTTCCCCACGCCGGTACAGGGTCCCCAAGGCTTCAGGCCATCCCCAACTGCTTTCCCAAGCCACAAGCAGGGAGCTGGATTGGAAGTGAGGCAACCGGGATCAGAAACGGTGCCCACGTGAGATCCCGGCACATTCAAGGCGAGGATCCCAGCCGCTAGGCCACTGCGCTGGGCCCGTTTTATAGGTTTGTAGTGTCCATTTTGAGCACAGGAGGCATATTTTGCGACCTTTCTTAAGGACACATAGCCATCCCCCGCCCTCCCCGCCTGAGTGCTGTAAGCAGCACCCTGTCTTCTCTGAGGACGCCATCCTGAGAATTCGCTTGAGAGCATGTGAAATCTGATACAGAAAACCTGTCAGCAGAGGTGACCCAAGGCCTTAAGACCCTGCACCCACATCGGAGACCCCAAAGAAGCTCCAGGCTATAACAAACTTTCTGCCATAGTGGCCATTTGGGGAGTGAACCAGCAGATGAAAGACATACCTATCTATAGGAGTTTTAAATTTAATTTAATTTAAATTTTGTTTGTTTGTTTGTTTGAAAAGCAGATATACAGAGAGGAGGAAAGACAGAGAGGAAGATCTTCCATCTGCTGGTTCACTCCCCAAGCAACCACAATGGCTGAAGCTGAACTGATCCAAAGCCAAGAGCCAGGAATCTCCTCCAGGTCTCCCATGCAGGTGCAGGATCCCAAGGCTTTGGACCGTCCTTAACTGCCTTCCCAGTTCACAAGCAGAGAGCTGGATGGGAAGCGGGCCTGCCAGGATTAGAACCAGTGCCCACATGGGATCCTGGTGCATTCAAGGTGAGGACTTTAGCCGCTATGTTATGGCGCTGGGCCCAGAAAATCTTTCTCTTTTCTTCTCTCTGTAAAACTGCTTTTCCAATAAAAATAAATATTTAAAAGAAAAAAAAAAAGAAGACCTGTGTTACGTCCAGAAATTCAGAATAATGGGGTGGGTCAGGAAAGGAGGCACAATTAGCCTGAGGTTAATCTGGAATGTTTAAAGGGAATAATTTTATTATTCCCAAGTGTATCCAATCCCAGTGGAGGATGACCCATAGCCTGGGACCCCGCACCTCCTGACCACCTGACCCAGACAGGAAACCTTTTGGGAAGTAAACCAGTGGACGAAAGATCCTTCTCTCTGTTTGCTCTGCCTTTGAAGTGAATAAATTAAAAAGTGTATATGCGTGTGTGTATATATATGTAGATACAGATATATATTAGTTGGAAAGTCAGATTCACAGAGAAGGAGAGACAGAGAGAAAGATCTTGCGTGCTCTGGTCACCCCCCAGGAGGCCGCAGCAGCCAGAGCTAAGCCCATCGGAGGCAGATGTTTTCTCAGCGACGACCCGGGTATTCCTTGCGAAGAGGGCTCTGACTGCCTTACCGATGGGCGCTTACATGGATGTGTATAAAGAATAATGTGGCATTGAAAGCTGTGTGGAAGGGTAGGTACAGCACAATGGCTCAATTGGCTAATCCCCGCCCCACCCCCCGCAAGTCATGGGATCCCATATGGGCACCAGTTCATGTTCCAGCTCCTTGCTTATGTTCTGAGAAGGCAGCAGAGGACAGCCCAACGCCTTGGGACCCTGTACCCATGCGGGAAACCGGAAGAAACTCCTGCTTCGAATCACTTCAGCTCTCTGACTGCTGTGGCCACTTGGGGAGTGAACCTGTGGGGAAAAGATCTTTGTCTCTCCTTCTCTCTGTGGATCTGACTCTCCAGCAAAAATATATGAATCTGGGCCCGGCGGCGTGGCCTAGCCTCCTGGCTAAAGTCCTTGCCTTGAACACACCGGGATCCCATATGGGCGCCGGTTCATGTCCCGGCAGCTCCACTTCCCATTCAATTCCCTGCTTGTGCTCTGGGAAAGCAGTCGAGGACAGCGCAGTGCTTTAGGACCATGCACCGGTGTGGGAGACCTCTAGGAGGTTCCTGGCTCCTGGCTCCAGATCAGCACGACACCAGCCATTGCACTCACGTGGGGAGTGACAGAAGATCTTCCTCTCTATCTTTCCTCCTCTCTGTGTATCTGACTCTGCAATAAAAATAAATAAATCTTTAAACAATAAATAAATAAATCTTTTTTTTTCTTTATTGGAAAGGTGATAGGAACAGTCTGACTATAAGTACTTTACATTTACATTGCTCCAGCAAAACATGACCATAAATAAAAATGGAGCTTTGGGAAATATGGGTTGGAGTATTATTAATAATCTTAATTGTATCCTCAATATTGTTATAGTTTTATCAGAAATTGATGATCCAGAAATAGCTGCAATAATAGATCTCCTTTGTAAGTTATGCTGTGACTTAATAATGGATATAGTGAGTATGTTAGAGTCTTTTAACAAAGGTGACTCCATCCTCCTAAACTACTGGTGAAATGGGGCCTCCTCTCCTACTGCTCCTGTCAAGAGACTCCTAGGCGCACAAGCCCTCCCCTTATCACCTTTGTCAAGAAGCCACCATGTACGTAAGCATGTCATGGTAGGAATGATAAAGAAGAAATAATTGTATATTAATGAATAGGTATGTTTTGAGAATGAATATGCATGTTTTTTTAGAATTAAGAGAAAGCAAGTGTTATTGATAGATAATATGTAATAACCAATCAAAATATTGTAAACAACTGCCTGTCTTGCCCCTGAATTTGTATATAAACCCATGCATTTGTCCCAGTTACTGAAGCCAGCAGGCTCCCACTAGACCGGAGCCAAAAGCCCCTGGGCTTCCACTCGAACTTGCAGGCTCCCACGAGGCCGGAGCCAAAGGCCCAGCAGACTTCCACGAGACTGAAGTCAAGAGGCACTCTCGGTGGCTTCCCCCATCCTGTTTGGTGTGTGCTTGCCTGAATAAATGCTTGAATGCTTGATTGCAAAGCACCCACTCTCGACTCTTGGCATTTGTTCTGGTGACCGGGCTCGGTGTTCGCGACAAAAGGCAGATATACAGAGAGAAGAGACTGAGAGGAAGATCTTCCGTCCGATGATTCACTCCCCAAGTGAGCGCAACGGCCGATGCTATGCCGATCTGAAGCCAGGAGCCTCTTCCGGGTCTCCCACGCGGGTGCAGGGTCCCAAAGCCTTGGGCTGTCCCGGACTGCTTTCCCGGGCCACAGGCAGGGAGCTGGAAGGGAAGCGGAGCCGCCGGGATTAGAACCAGCGCCCATATAGGATCCTGGGCATGCAAGGCGAGGACCTTAACCACTTGCGCCACTGCGCTGGGCCCAAATAAATAAATCTTAAAAAATAAATCAGGCCTGGCATGATAGCATAGTGCTTAAAGTCTTCGCCTTGAATGCCCTGGGATCCCATGTGGGCGCCAGTTCTAATCCCGGCTGCTCCACTCCCCATCCAGCTCCCTGCTTGTGGCCTGGGAAAGCAGGGGCCCAAAGCATTGGGATCCTGCACCCAAGTGGGAGACCTGAAAGAAGTTGCTGGATCCTGGCTTCAGATCGGCACAGCACCGACCGACCGTTGTGGCCACTTGAGCAGTAAACCATCGGACGGAAGATCTTCCTCTCTCTCTCCCCCTCTCTGTGTTGTCTGCTTTTCCAATAAAAATAAATAAATCTTTTTTAAAAATGTGGAAATCTCAGCAAGTTCCGAGAGCTTTCTGTTATCCATAAAATGAAAATTTAAGGGTAATAAATAAATCAATCCACTGGTTATAGCTTGACAGCATTCTTCTCTCCCTTCCTCAGGGACTAACACACTAATCAGTCACAGTGCAGCCTGCAGTGACCGGGATTGTATGAGACAGAGTTGCCGAGGGAGGCCTCAGCTCCAACCTGTCTCATTCCTGTCCTGCCCTGGAGCTAACCGTCGCTGTTGAATGAGTCAGAGAGGCACCTTGGGTTCCAGCACACGCGGCAACAGACTCAATCAGTCACCACTCAGCTCCGCCTGCGTGGGGAGCTTCCTTCCCCTGCACCTGCTGGGGACCAGGAGAGTCTCCAGGCCTCTTCCCCAGCTGCAAGGTCCCACCTGCTGTGGGATTGGAATCTGCATTGCTGAGACAGCCCGGCTGTGGAGGACTAAGCACAGAGCTTTATTAGACAAAGTAACTCTATTTTTTTTTTTTTTTTAGGATTTATT